CATCCATTTACTATCCATCTATCCATCCATCCATTTACTATCCATCTATCCATCCATCCATCCATTTAATCCCGTTGATAATCAAACTAGACTTACGAGCAGCCTGGAGTCTGGCTATCTCCTCCTTGAGCTGTGCTATCTGAAGGAGGAGCTGACGTGTCTGTGCTCTCTGCTCCTCGTCCCTCCAAGCCAGGGGTCGCTCGTGGCCGTCATCCTCACCTGGGGGGGCGAGGGAGATCATTAGTGGGGTAGGAGATGTGAAAGGGGGAGAGGAGGGAGGAGGAGAGGGAGGGAGGGGAGTTGGAGGGAATTGAGGGTGGGGAGGAAGGGGATTGGGGGGGGGAGATGTGAGAGGGGAGAGGGAGGGAAGGGAGAGGGAGGGAAGGGTGGGGGGAGAGGGAGAGGGAGAGGGAGGGAAGGGAGGGTGGGAGGAAGAGAATGGGGAAGAGATGTGAGAGGGGAGAGGAGGAGGAAGAAGAGGGAGAGGGAGGAGGGGAAGGGGGAGGAAGAGGATGGGGGGGATATGAAAGGGGGAGGAGGAGGAGGGAGGGGAAGGGAGGGAGGGAGGGATGGATGGGGGGGTGATGTGAGAGGGGGAGAGGAGGAAAAGATGGAGAGGAGGGAGGGGAGGGTGGGAGGAAGAGGATGGGAGGGGGGGAGAGATGTGAGAGGGGGGGAGAGGAGGGGGAGAGGAGGGGGAGAGGGAGAGGGGGAAGGGAGGAAGGGGATTGCGGGGGAGATATGTGAGAGGGGGAGAGGAGAAGAGGGAGAGGGAGGAAGGGAGGGAGAGGGGGAGAGGGAGTGAAGGGAAGGTGGGAGGAAGAGGATGGGGGAGGGGTGATGGAGAGGGGGGGGAAGGAGGAGAGGGAAGGGAAGGGAAGGTTGGGAGGAAAGGATGGGGGGGGGATGTGAGAGGGGGAGAGAGGAGGGAAGGGCGGGTGAGGAAGCGGGTGGGAGAGAAGAGGGATGGGAGGGTGGAATGTAGTGGTGGATTGGGCCCTTCATTGGCTGACGTGACCTCTCTCTACCCAGGTCATTCCCGTGCATGGCTTCGGGCACTGATGACAGCACTTAAGGACACGCACTAGGACGACAGACGACCGTACGACCTCTCCGCCCGTTCGCATGACATCCCGAACGATGACAATGGCGGCCTCCTTGTGCAAACTAGCAGTTACCTTACCGGCAATAGGTTATGCAAACTACCCGTGTCCCTGCCGAGATAACTCCCAAGCTTTGGCAGAAACCGCGGGTAGAGACACCGCCTTGTCGCTGCAGGTGCCGGAGACCCACGGAGACAGCTCTTCTGCAATCAGGTCATGTATCCCAGTGCTTGCGAAAGAATGTTCCGTGTGACTTGATAATAAGCGAGCGCCAGTCCGCGGTTGTGATTTAAGAGAAGCGAGAACAATTATTCTTGACAGGCCGACCGCGAGGTAAGTGTCATGAGTTGTGTTGTTTAATTGTTTCTGATAGGAATATACGTTAAGTGTTAAATAGTAGTTGTACATATTCGGTTAGAATTTGTCCATGTATTATTATTATCGTTCGTGAATGTATACATTTTAGTTTTCTGTGTGTAGCTCGTGCGTGTGTATTTTGTCAGTGTATTCGTCTATTTGTAGGTGTGTTTCTTTGTATCTTTCGTATGCATACGTAATGATTAATAAATTTGACATTTTAATGTTTTTCTTTCTAAAAACCGAACACACTAAAAAAGATTATGATCATAATCAAAATTATAATCAACGTAAACATAAGTTATAAAAACAGCTAAAGACAAGACTTGAAGAAGACGATGATAAATAATGACCAAGAGATTAAGATAACAGATATAAACAAAAGAAAATAATAACACTGAACAAAACCTCCGACGGAAATATCTCGGTCAAATCACCAGAATTGATGTTAAACTCTAAGGGCCGGGATCCCTGTTCCCGTGGTGGCAGCGACCTCCGTGTTTGTGCGTATGACAGCACAGAGAATCGCTACAATGGGATGGGTGGGACGGGAGAAGGGGAGGGAGGGAGGGAGAGAGGGGAAGGAGGGAGGAGGAAAGTATGGGAGGAGAGAGAGAGAAGGAGAGGTGAAATATGAATTATTCTGAGAGAGAGATACAGAGAAAAAGACAACAGACAAATAATAAATAGAGAGAGAGAGAGAGAGAGAGAGAGAGAGAGAGAGAGATAGAGATAGAGATAGAGGAGAGAGGAGAGAGGGAGAGAGAGAGAGAGGAGAGAGAGAGAGAGAAGAGAGAGAGAGAGAGAAGAGAGAGAGAGAGAGACAGACAGACACAAAAACAGTCCGCCCCCCAAACAAAAACAAACGCACAAAAAAAGTTTTCCCGGACAACCCCGAAGCTCGCCAATAATATAAAACCGAGAGAGGGAATTCCACAGATGATTGGGGGGGGCCCTCAGACATGATAGGAGGGTGGTGGTGTGGTTGGTGGTGGTGGGGTGGTGTGGGTGGGTGTGTGGTGGTGGTGGTGGTGGTGTGT